AAAAAGAGAGAAGAAAAGAAAAGAAAAAGAAAAAAGAAGCTGATAAATTACCAAAAAAAGAATGAGGAAGATCTGTGTGAACAGACATGGTAAGATCTCTAAGGCCTGCCAAAATATCACCAAATAACAAGTTTAGAGTACGATTTCATATATTTGGGAAAAGTACACATACACATATGTTTACACATCTATACACACACACACACATGTATATATATATATATGTATAGTGTGTTCAGGTATGTAAATACATATAAAAGATCTAAAAGGGTACATACCAAACTGCTAATAATAGTTATCTCTTTTCTAAAACAAATTCTTTTAGAGACAGAGTTTCACTATGTTTCCCAGTCTGGACTCACACTCCTGGGCTCAAGTTATCCTCTTGCCTCAGCCTCCCGAGTAGCCGGGATTACAGGCATGTTCCACCACGCCCAGCCCGATAATAGTTATCTCTGAGGATGGTATTGGGATCCCAGCAGAATGAATTTCATCTTTTATTCTATATATTAGCAATAAAAAGGCTTTAATAATTTTGAAGAGGTTTAAAACCAATGATATAGTCCACTTACCACACATCACACTCTAGCCCTAGAGTGACTGTGAAAGGACAGTAGGTTAAGAGCATGGAGTGTAGATTCAAATCAAGGCTCTGTTTTCTACCTGATGTGTGACTTTGGACAAGTTATTAAGATTTCCTAAGGTTCCTCATCTGTAAAACAGGGACAATGATATTGGTAGAATCTATCTTAATAGGTCATTGCAAGGATTAAATAAGTTAACATATGTAAAGTGCTGAGGTAAATGTTGGACTAAGACATATTAACTATTATTGTACAAAAAAAATAAAGAAAAAAATTGAAAGTAATGTCATCATTAGATATATTCATACTAACATTTTGTCGCATGTCCTTCCAATCTTTTTAAACCTGTGCTTTTATAGTTTTTTGCTTCACAAAAATGAGATTTTATAATCCTTTTCTCCCCCACTTAACTCTAGTTGGAGAACGTTTCCCTATAGCATTAACTCTCTTTTCTATCATTTGTAAATGTTGCTTAATATCCATTGTATGGATGTTTGATTTATTCAGCAAGTCCTCTACTCTTGGACATCAAATTCCCCAATTTTTTTTGTATTATAAATAGTAGTGTGATGAACAAATGTTGTAGAAAATAAGTGACAATATTTTATACCGCCTCCAATCAAGAAGTAGGATCTATTGCCCTATCCCTGAATCTGAGCTTGACCATGCGACTTGATTTGCCCTATGTGGACATTAGCAAATGTGCTGCAAGTAGAGACTTGAAAAGATGTTTATATATTGGAGTTTGTCCCCCTTTTTTGCTGAGAATCCCGAGACAACCATATGAAGAAGCCTGGGCTAGCCTACTGGAAGAGGAGAGACTACATAGAGACAGGGTTCAGGCAACCCAGCTGAAGCCTAGGTCATCCAGCTCCTGCTGAGCCGGCCCATCCTAAACCACCCAATAAACCCACAGAATATGAGAAATAATAAATGTTATTTTAATCCACTAAGTTTGAGATGGTTTGTTACACAGCAAAAACTAATTGATATAAACATCCTGTGGATAATGATTATTTCCCGGAAAAATTTCTCAGAAGTAAACTTTCTTGGTCAAAGAGCGTGCAGACTTTTATACATTTTTTTCTCCAGAAACAGGGTTTCTCTCTGTCACTCAGTCTGGAATTCAGTGGCATGATCATAGCCTTAAACTCCTGAGCTCAAGTGATCCTCCCTCCTTGGCCTCCCAATGTGCTGGGATTACAGACTCCCTGGGTTTGAATCCCAGCTCTGCCATTTACTAGCTGTGTGGCTGTTAGCCTTCCTATGCTTCAGCTTCCTCATCTGTAGAATGGGGTCATAAGTGTTCATACAACACCTAGAACAGTGGCTGGCACACAGTAAAGTGCTGCATAAGCTTGCTATTTCCAGTATGGTGTTGCAGCAGTCATGGGACTATTTCTAATGATCCTATTGCCAGGAGTCCTTATGTAGTAGCTTTGGTTATACAGTCTTGCACTGCATAACAACCTTTCAGTCAATGATGGACTGCATATATGATGGTGGTCCTATAGATTATAATACTTTATTTTTACTGTACCTTTTCTATGTTTAGATATGTTTAGATACACACTCACCATTGTGTTATAACTGCCTACAGTATTCTGTACAGTAATATGCTATATAGGTTTGTAGCCTAGGAGCAATAGGCTATACTAGATAGCCTAGGTGTGTAGTAGGCTATACCTTCTAGTTGTGTAACTACACTCTGTGAGGTTTACACAATGACAAAATCACCTTAAGACAGATTTCTCGGAAAGTATCCCCGTCATTAAACAGCACATGACTGTACCCACATGACCATGTCATAAGGGAATTTTCCATGTGACAGGACCAACCCCGCTGCCATTCTTGGGGGGAAAGGGGAAAGTGGTGACTGCTATGATGCCACATTGTGATCAGGGTGAACATGAACTACTCCAGAGACTTATTGCGAGTAGATTTCCCAAGGCCTTGCTGCTGCAGACTCCAGTATGGCTGGATGTGAAAGCTCCTTGCTCAGGGAATCCCTGACTAACCTAGAACCCATCTGCCTACTCTATCATCTGGGAAATAGAACAGGCTTCCTCCAGCCTTACAATTCTTATTTCTACCTATAGGGTTGGAATGATATTAATTACAGTAAAATAATAATAATAATAATAATAATAGATAACACATTGAGTGCCCATTATGTGTCAGGCACTGTCTTAAGCAATTTACAAATACTGTTTCATTTAATTCTTCTCACAACCACCTTTGAAATAGGTACTGTTTTTATTTCAATTTTACAATGAGGAAACTAAGTCCGAATCCAGAATCTTCCATCCTAACTGTGACACTGTACTGTCTCCTGCTTGAGAATATGCAATTTTGGGGTGAAAAAATGCCAAGGAAAGCAATCCAACACTTCTCAGCCTAATCCATTCATAATCCACCCTTTCGCAGCCACAAGAACATTCTGTGTTGGAACCACTTTGCAGCAAGATGTCTGAGAACTGAAGTGAGAGTCAAGAAATGGATTATGCATTTGTCACCATTTCAAGCCTTCTCAGGTCAAATTCTTATACTCTCTTGGTAGGAGTGGGGGGCGGGAAGAGGAAATGAGACAGTCTCTCCCCCCACCATTGTAAAAAACACTAGGCATTTTTCAGCGCAGCAGACTGCAACAACACCGGGCCTGATTAAGGAATGACAATATGGAAGACAGATGGCAGATGCATGGATGCCACACTATTGCCTTTCAGTTCAATATTGCTTGGTGGTTTTTTTTTTTTTTTTTTGCCTTGTAAATCTCCCAAATAAAATGGTTTGCTTTCCCCAAGTTAGAAGTGTTAGCACGTCTTTTCTTTAAATATCTGTGTATGGCTGTTTTTTTCCCTGCCAATTTGTCACCATCTGTAACCCTCTCTTTATGAGATGATCTGATGACAGCAATTATCTTGGAGAGTAAAAATGTGGTCTTGAAGCACCATGTAAGAGTGGAGGCAGTGTGGACTGTGCGTTGTGTGCGGAGGCTGCCCCTGCACTGTGTGTGTGTGTTGTGTGTGTAAGGAATGACAGTGTACTTTGTGTGCTGGCTCTGGATGCCTCGCGTATGTACACAGTGTGTGTGAGTATGCAATGTGTATACATTCTGTGAGCGTCTTGTGTGTGTGTGTGTGTGTGTGTGTGGACTGTGTGTTGGGCTGCGTGCCTGCCTGTGTACTTGGGGTCTGTCTATGTGCTGTCTGTGTAGATACCCTGTGAACACCCCGTATGTGAATGAACTGCCTGTGCTCTGTATATGGACTGTGCAGACTACTGGGGGAAGATGTTCCTCAGGAGGGCATATTTCTCTACAGCGTTTAAAGGCAATGGGGAAGGCCTGAAATTTGGGGAATTGGGCCTGGGTCAAAGGAAAGTAAACTACGGGTGGCTTGCAAGGGGGTGCTGAGATGGGTTGCTGGCCAGGAGCAGTGCAGGGGTCTCCAGACGTTGCTGGCGGGGAGCCCCGGCGGCTCCTCCCTCTCCCCCGCTCCCCCCATCCCGGGCGGCGCCGCGGGGGGAGGGGGACTCTGCAGGCGAGGGGCTGCGCAGCGGCTGTGATGGCGGGCGGTGGCGGTGCCGGGTAGGGGACCCGGGCAGTGGCGCGGGCGCGGGCTAGCGGCCAGGAGCCCTAAGGCGCCGCGTGGCCGGATTCCACCATGAACGTCGCGCTGCAGGAGCTGAGCAGCGGCGGCAACGTGAGTAGGGCCCCGGGGCTCCCGGGGTGAGGAGCCGGGTGGAGGGGTACCAGGCGGAGGGGTCGGCCGCGAGGGGCGGGCGGCATCCAGCTCCCGGACATGGGGCTGCGTATCCCGGTCCGGGCTCGGGGTAGGTGACAGAGGGACCCCAGGCGGAGAGCCGGGCAGGTGGGAGGGGAAGGCCCCTCACTGCAGGGCCTGAGGGGCAAGAGCACTGGGGTAGGGCAGTGGGCAAACAGCTCTCTCTGTCTGACCGCGGTGGGCGCCCCCGACTGTCTGGCAGATGGTGGAGTACAAACGGGCCACGCTTCCGGACGAAGACGCACCCGAGACCCCAGTAGAGGGCGGGGCCTCCCCGGACGTCGTGGAGGTGGGCAAAGGGGTTCCCCCCTTCTCACCAGGTCTCAGCCCTGGCATGACACCTAGCATACGCAGGAGCTCTGGGCTGTTCTGGAGGGTTACCTAGCCCCCACCACCTCCGCTCCATCTCTGGCCTCTGCGCTAGGACCATGGTGAGGCGATTCTAAGCCATGACGTTGCACAAAACAGGCTCAGGGCTCAACTCGGCCTGCCTCGTTGCCCCTGGGCCCAAAGTTAACCCCATTGGCGTCTTTGCTTCATGGCTCTGGAAACAGCCTGTGCTTTCACCCTCTGGTGATCTCGGATCCCTGCCCTGCAGCTCAGCTGCTTTCTGTCCCCCTGTGTTCCCCAGGTGGGATTCCAGAAGGGGACAAGACAACTCTTAGGCTCACACACGCAGCTGGAGCTGGCCTTGGCAGGTGTCTCTCTACTGTTGGCTGCACTGCTTCTGGGCTGCCTCATGGCCCTGGGGATCCAGTACCACAGAGGTAGGTGGGCCCACACTTGCCACCAGCCCTCATGGCTCTGGGGGCTCTGGAGGCTGAAGGGCCTCTAAGATTTCCTCTGGTTGGGGCTAGCCTTCCCCACAGAAAAACTCCTGGTTTTTCTTTCTCTTCCCAACCTTCCTGTTATCATGGCCCTTCCAAAGAGTTTGCCTCTCCCAGACTGACTGACAGTCTCCTATCCTCTGGCCATGCCCCCTGACACAGACCCATCCCAGAGCACCTGCCTCACAGAGGCCTGCATTCGAGTGGCTGGAAAAATCCTGGAGTCCCTGGACCGAGGGGTGAGCCCCTGTGAGGACTTTTACCAGTTCTCCTGTGGAGGGTGGATTCAGAGGAACCCCCTGCCTGATGGGCGTTCTCGCTGGAACACCTTCAATAGCCTCTGGGACCAGAACCAGGCCATACTGAAGCACCTGCTTGGTGAGTGGGGCTGTTATGGAGGCCTTGTGCCCAGCACAGGGCCTGCCATTTTGTAGGTACTCAATAAATGTCCATGAATGAAAAAGTGTTCTGTGAACACTCCTGAGGGAGGAGATGCAGAGAACAGGAAGCTCCTGAGAAGTAGAGATGGATTCGAGGGGAACAGATCTCTGAGAATAATGGAGGGCTGCCTCTTTGCACTGTTCGGAGCATGGTTGAGGTATGGTAGGCACCAGCGAACCTTGCAGGGCTCAGATTTCTTTGAGGGTCTCTGTGGACAGGAGAGAGGAAGCCATGATTTGCTGTTTCAGGCAGTCTTTCTGGGTCTACATTAGGAGGTCTGCTCATTGATAAGGCAGAGAGAGGCTGGGTGCTGTGGTTCATGCCTATAATCCTAGCACTTTGAGGGGCTGAGGTGGGAGACAGGAGTTTTAGAGCAGCCTGGGCAATATAGCGAGACCCCATCTCTACAAAAAATAATTTTTAAAAAATTAGCTGGGCACAGTGGTGCACATCTGTAGTCCTAGCTACTTGGGAGGCTGAGGCAAGAGGATAGCTTGAGCTCGGGAATTCAAGGCTGCAGTGATCTGTGATAATGCCACTGCACTCCAGCCTAGGCGACAGAGCAAGAGCTCGTCTCTAAAAAATAAATAAATAAATAAAGGCAGGGAGAGGATCTGAGCAACGTCCAGAGACTCCTCCTCAGCAATTAACCTAATTACCACCTGGCCCCTGTGTTCTGCCCCACAGAAAATACAACTTTCAACTCCAGCAGCGAAGCTGAGCAAAAGACTCAGCGCTTCTACCTATCCTGCCTACAGGTAGAGCGCATTGAGGAACTGGGCGCCCAGCCACTGCGAGACCTTATTGACAAGGTGGGATTGCAGGATGGGCTTCAAGCAGGGAAGCTGGAGGAGTCTTGGGAGAGGATGTGGCCCAAGAAAGCTTTCGGGGCCCTGTGCTATAGCTTTCACTTTTGGTCTCTACTCAGATTGGTGGTTGGAACATCACAGGGCCCTGGGACCAGGACAACTTCATGGAGGTGTTGAAGGCAGTAGCAGGGACCTACAGGGCCACCCCATTCTTCACTGTCTACATTAGTGCTGACTCTAAGAATTCCAACAGCAATGTTATCCAGGTGCTGGGCTGGGGAAGGGCGAGGAGGGACTTACGGATGTTTTTCTGAGCCCAGACGCCCGTACCCTGTGATAGGCAGTCTGGGCTGGCCTCCGACCTCTGCACAGGAGTCTGGGTCCCGGGGTGGGGTGGCTTACCTCCTTTCTTTGCCATTGCAGGTGGACCAGTCTGGGCTCTTTCTGCCCTCTCGAGACTACTACTTAAACAGAACCGGCAATGAGAAAGTAAGAAGCATCCTCAGAACCCCAATCCCTATCCCTTGCTGAATTGGGTTGATTCCTGTTGACTTTTCCCTTTGCCCAGGGTCAGAGCGGGGAAAGTGAGCCTATCCTGTCGCCTAGTGAGCCATCTGCCCTTCCTTCCTTCCTTCCTTCCTCTCTCTTATTCTTCCAGGAAAAGCTTATTTTATAGGTACCTACTATGTGCCAGATGCAGTGGGGGAATTCTGAATATAAGTTTCAGAGCCATTGTTCTGGTAAGCTTTTGGTTTTTGTGGGTTTATGGACCTAGAAGTATGAGAACAAGACTCAAAAGAGGGTCCCTGTCATTCAGGAGAGACTCAGGTAGCCAGAGAAGGTTTTCTGAAGAGACTGCATTTGAGCCAGGCCCTGCAGCATATGTAGGAGTGAATGAGGTCATGCTGGGTGGAGAGAAAAGTTTAAAAAAAAGTGTTGAAGAGGGAAAGGCTAGGTGTGTTTGGACCACAGGAAAGGGTTCAGTGTGGCAAAATATGGAGCTCAAAGCAGATGGGAGTCTGGAGCGTGGGCAGGGACTAGCTATGGAGGGAACACTGAATACCACACTACAGAGTTTATTCTGCAGCTCTCAGAGAACCATCGTGTACTCCAGAGCAGGGAGGGAGTGATCCAGTGCACAGTGCTCTGGGAAGCACTGTGGCTGGGATGTGAGAAGTAGATGTGAGAAAAAGGCTAGAGATGAGTTAACTATCTCTGTAGTACTCTAGGCTCTGACTTGTAAAGGCCCCAGTGGAGGCGTGACAGAGGGAATGTTAGGAGGGGTGGATGCAAGAGAGTTGTTGGATGGTAGAAGAGGGAAGAGGTGAAGATGGTTGAGGCTGTAAGCCTGAGTGACAGTGGAATGGAGGGGTCCTTAGGGAATCAGGGGTGTCTGTAGGAAGAATCAGCTTAGGGTACATTGGAGAAAAGCAGACAGTGTGATGTTACAGGAAAAAGAGAGACTTGGAGTCAGGCCTGGAGTCCAATCTTATCTCTGCTGCTTGGTGCAAATTGATTAGTCTCTTTTAGGCTGTTTTCTTACCTGTAAAAGGGGATCATAGCATCTACCACATATGGTGTCTAGGGTGGAGTGGGGGTGTAAGCTTATGCTCCTACATGTGGCAGACACTCAGGGTGTGGGAGGTGCTCATTTTAGACTGAATTTGAGGGACCTGAGTACCTTCTAGATGGAGAGGCCAGCAGACAGCTGTGAAAGTCGTGTGGAGTCCTAGAGAGAGGACAAGCCTGAAGGGAGCCAGAGGCATGAGGGGCATCTCCTTAGAAACCTAAGCAAAGGCTTAGGAGGGATGATAGAAAGGAGGAGAATAGAGAAAGGAAGGAAGGAAGGAGACTCTTGAATTTTAAAGACAGTAGGAGAAAGAATCAGCAAAGGAGATTGCTATGGAGTAGGACAACCAGGAGAGTCATTTGTCCTTCTGTCACTCATGTGCAAACATTTACTGAGTATTCCTCAGCCAGACCCTCCTCTAGGCACATGGTGAACAAGGCATTGCCACTGTTCTCTAAGTGGGAGAAAAGAAATGAAACGGCTTGTTACATGGCTGTCCTGTTTGCAATTGTCTGGATTGTTAGAAAGGAGAAGCATAGGGTTCCAAGAGTGAGTATAACTGGGAACCAGCCTGGTCCTAGGGTGAGGGTAGACTGCAGTGAAGGAAGAGTGTTCTGCAAAGGGAACAGCTTATGCAAAGGCTCTGAGGTGGGAAAGAGTATGGCCCATTGACCATACTCAACAGGAGAGGGAAGCAAGAGGGGAGAGTGGGCCAACTCCTTCCAGACAGGTATGTAGACTCATATTATGCATGAGCATTATGGGGATAATTTAGGATTTATCCCAAAAGAAATGGAAGGGGAAACTCAAAAGTGGTATGAACAGCTGGGTGTGGTGGCTCACACCTGTAGTCCCAGCACTTTGGGAGGCTCAGGTGAGAGGACCACTTGGGGCCAGAAGTTTGAGACCAGCCTGGGCAATGTAGTGAGACCCCATCTCTTAAAAAAAATTAGAAAAATTAGCTGGGTGTAGTGGCATGCACCTGTAGTCCCAGCTAATTGGGAGGCTGAGGCAGGAGGATCGCTTGAGGCCAGTAGTTTAAGACTGCAGAGAGCTGTGATTATGCCACTGCACTCCAGCCTGGACAACAGAGTGAGACCCTGTTTCAAAAAAAAAACAACAGGTGGTGTGAACAGATGTGTGATTTGACATCACCTGAGTTAGAGGAAGAGATAATGTTGACAATGCAGGAGAGAACCACATCGTCCAACACTTTGGAAAAGGTGGGGAGAAAACCTTGGGTTTGGTTGTCAGCATGTCACTGGTTGCCTTGGCCAGGAAGCCTCCGGTGCTGGGATCTAGGGGAAGCTGCAGTGCAAAAGGTTGAGATAGGATAAAAACTAGGAGTAAAGCCGGTTCAGGAGAGTCTCAAAAGTAAGTCTTAAGCTGAAGGGAAGGAGGTAGGGAGAGAAAGGGGTAAGGTGAGATCACTAGTTGAACTCTAACCAACCCCCTTAAGAGCTGCGATGACTGAGATTGGCACTTAAACTTCTTCCTCTGGCGCCAGAGAAATGTTGAGGTACAGAGAATGGATATTAAAGAATCTAAACACTTGTCAGTAAAGTTGAAAAGGAGATGGCCTTTGGGGATTAGGGGAACCCAGGGTGGGGCTTCAGGTTAGGAGTGGGAGTGGTTTCTGGGAGGAGAACCGCTGGGAGTTGGTGCTGCGCAGTGCTGAGGGGCTCTTTGCAGATTTTCATCCCTTTATTCAACAAATATTCATTGAGCACCTAATATGTGGCAGGCAGTGTGCTCACGCCTGAGACTGTAGTGGTGAATAAAGCAAACACAGCCCCTGCCTCATGGAGCCCAAGTGCCAGCAGGGTGAGGCCACATGAGTTTGTCCATGGCCCTGGGGTCGTCAGGCCTGGGTCACATTCTCACTCTGCCACCTGCTAGTTTGTGATAGGAGTCAAGCCCTGTCACCTTTCCAGGCTCGTTCCCTCTTGTGTAAAATGGGACTCATATCGGCTTTATGGAGTTGCTGTGAGGTGTGGAAGATACACTGTATGTAAAGCTTCCAACAGAGAGTCTGATATATGTATATATACGTGGTCACTAAATGGTTCCTTTCCATACTTTTCTCTCCCTTGGAGACCAGAGAGGAGTGGAGAAAGCAGCAAGTTTGAGGCCTGGCACGTGGTCACTGGTGGGCAGGGACAGCTAGACAGGCTTCAGGAGACGAGAAGGCAAAGCAGTATAGGAAGCAGGTCCATCCACTGAACAGGTCTTCACAGAGCACCTATTCTGCACTAGGCCCCGTTCTGGGCCCTGGGGATATAGTGGTGAATGAGCTGCTGAAACGTGGAACAGCGCTCTGCTGGTGTACCTCCCTCTTGGGGAAATAGGTGATAAGCAGGTACACGAATAAATAAACAACACAGAGCAGATGGTGGCAAGCATTGTGTCAGAAATGCAGCTGGGACATCCAGGAAGGCTTCTGGAAGGAGGACAAGCAGATGAGAGAGTGAGCAGCGGTGGTGGCCAGGCAGATCCTCTCAGCCTCAGGCAGGATGTGTTGCTGGGCTCTGAGGACTATTTGGGCCCTTGACAGGTGCTCACTGCCTACCTGGACTACATGGAGGAGCTGGGGTTGCTGCTGGGCGGACAGCCAACTTCCACACGGGAGCAGATGCAGCAGGTGCTGGAGCTGGAGATACAACTGGCCAACATCACGGTGCCCCAGGACCAGCGGCGCGATGAGGAGAAGATCTATCACAAGATGAGCATCTCAGAGCTGCAGGTGGGGCAGGCAGGGGACTTGAGGGGCCAACTGTGGCATGGACCACCCAGCTTCCCTTTATGTCATCTTCCTGAGGCAGCCAATCCTTTCCTCATTTCCTTGCTTTTCTGAGTTTCCCATCTGTACTTTTGCTATCCTAGAAAGAAAAATGGTGTCTATTTTAGGCCACCTCTCACTGGGCCATCCTTGGGCCCCTTTCTTGTTGTCTGGGAATGCGTAGAGGAATTGTTTTAAAAATTTATCACAACTTGAGTGAGATGTCCACAAAACAATGAGAATAGAATGGAAGCTTCTCCTGGAGGGCCCCTATTGTGCCAGGCATTAATGCTTTAGGTGTTGGATTATGGAAAAGTTGGGGATGGGGATGTTTCTGGAGGAGAGGCCAGGTATATGGGGGAGGGTGTCAGGGGCATGGTATTTTATCAACCGTTATGAAAGTATTTGGATATCTGCACCCCAGCTGAATATCACACATGGTGGTTTTCCTTGTGTAGTAAGTGGTTGGGCTCCCAGATTGAGGAGTACTCTGGCTTGGAAAGGGTTTATTGCAGGAAGGAGTCACCAAGCAGCTAGCAGCTGTTGCAGCTGTTGCTATGGCAATGGGAAGGGCTTCCAGGCTACAGCGCATCAGTGGGGGAGGGGTCTGCTGGAAGTCAGGTGGACAGGCTGGGAGGCCTGAGATGTTTTTGCTCTCAGGCTCTGGCGCCCTCCATGGACTGGCTTGAGTTCCTGTCTTTCTTGCTGTCACCGTTGGAGTTGGGTGACTCTGAGCCTGTGGTGGTGTATGGGACGGATTATTTGCAGCAGGTGTCAGAGCTCATCAACCGCACGGAACCAAGGTGGGGGGTAGTCCAAGGTGTGGGTGGTGGGATTCAGGGCTCTGTGGAGATCTCTGGCAGGGAATGGGCATAGTGGACTGGTATAGCCAGATAGAGCGACATTTGATAAGGTGGAGGACCTTCCAATTATCAAATCAGAATGTCTGCAGGCTTTTTCTTCTAGGCTAGGGTCTCATGGTGCCCATTTGTGATCTCTATTCCCCTACCTCGCTCCAACCTTACTTCTACAGCCAGGTGTGTGGTCCCAGGGTGAAAGAGGGACTCTGGGACAGCTTCCACATATACCTCTCAGGAGTCCTGCTGCCTGCATATTCCCAGGGGCTGTTTGGGAAGGAAATGGTACCCCACCTGTCCTTTCCTTATTTTTTGGTCTGGATGCCAGTGTCCTGAACAATTATCTGATCTGGAACCTGGTGCAGAAGACAACCTCCAGCCTGGACCGACGCTTCGAGGCTGCACAAGAGAAGCTCCTGGAGACCCTCTATGGTACCAAGAAGGTGGGCTCTCTGACTCTGCCTTCACCTTCTGATCCAGTCTGATGCTGCACACTTTCCGTGTGTCAGGCACCATTCGCCTCGTGGTACACAGGTGCATAGTATGGAGCACAAAACTTGGAATCAGCCAACTTGGGTTCTAATCCCAACTCCCTTGGGCATGTTACCCAGCCTCTTTGACTCTCCATTCCCTGGACTATAAAACAGGAATAACTTGCAGGGTCATCAGGAAGATTAACTGAGTTAATACAAGTAAAGCATCTACCAGTGCATGGTATGTACAGGTACTCACTCAGCTTTGATGACGAGGATGGAGAAGACGAATAAATACTGTTCTTAGTTTCACGGTGCCCCATTAAATGGGGGGAGTGAACATGTAAACAAATACATTAGGGGCAGGTGCAGTGGCTCACACCTGTAATCCTAGCACTATGGGAGGCTGAGGCGGGAGGATCACTTGAGGCCAAGAGTTTGAGACCAGCCTAGGAAACATTGTGAGACTTTGTCTCTGCAAAAAATAATTTTAAAAAAATTATTAGCTGAGTGTGGTGGCACGTGTCTGTAGTCCTAACTACTTGGGAGGCTGAGGCAGAAGGATCACTTGAGCCCAGGAGCTGGAGGCTTCAGTGAGCTGTGATCAAGCTACTGCACTCCAGTCTGGGCAACAGAGCAAGACCTTGTCTCAAAAAAGAAAAAAAAAAAAAAGGAAAGAAGTAGAGTTAGTAGACACTGGTGATAGACTGACTGTGGGGCTAGTGAGATGAAGGAAGCTGAGTGACTCCCAGGTTTCTGTCATGAGGGACTGACTGGGTATAACATTGAGATGTGGATCTGAGCAAAGAAACTTCTGGACTCCAATGGGCATTTTAGAAATGTAAGAAGAGAGTGCTAAGAATAGAGTGGGCAGCACACGTGTTCTACTGAGGTTTCGACGTTAGATTTGGCATAACTTTGAGATACTGCCTTTCATTTTCCCTGAGGAAGAGATGGCACCCCAAACCCAGGACTCTGTTGCCCTGAGCTGAGAAGGGCTAACCCCAGAGACAGAGAAAAGCCCTCAGACTGGAGGACAGAGCCATCTCTGGGGGCCTGATCCTTTGTCCTTTAATAGTCCTGCGTGCCGAGGTGGCAGACTTGCATCTCCAACACAGATGACGCGCTTGGCTTCGCTTTGGGCTCCCTCTTTGTGAAGGCTACGTTTGACCGGCAAAGCAAGGAAATTGTGAGTCTCCAAGGTTCTTCCACCATTACCCCCTGTTTTATTTAAAATTCACTACTTAACCAGGCACAGTGGCTCATGCCTGTAATCCCAGCACTTTGGGAGGCTGACACGGGAGGATTGTTTGAGGTCAGGAGTTGGAGACCAGCCTGAGCCAAGAACAAAACCCTGTCTCTGCAAAAAACAGTAAAATAAGCTGGGCATAGTGGTTTGTGCCTGTAGTCCCAGCTCCTCGGGAGGCTGAAGCAGGAGAATCTCTTGAGCCCAGGAGTTTGAGGTTGCAGTGAGCTATGACAACGCCACTGCACTATAGCCGGGGCGACAGAGTGAGACCCTGTCTCAAAAAATAAATAAATAAATAAAATTTACTATTCATATATGTGTGGACATATAGAAAAACAACTAGAAGGAAATTCATAAACAAATGAAGAGTGGTTGCTTTGGGCATTGGGATTATTTTTTGGTCCTTTAAAGTTTTCTGTATTTTCCAGTTTTTCTATTATGAGTTTATGTTAGCTATATACCTGGAGGAAACACTATTTATGTATTAGGAGATGATAATGGATATGCTGAAAGTATTATCTATAAAGATGTTTATGGTAGTGTTGTTGATAATAGGGGGAAATGAAAACAGCTTAAATGTACACCCATAAGTTAAAGGAAAAATAAATTGTGGTTAGGATGCATTATGAGGCAGCCCTTTAACTTTAAGTGAAACTTTAAGTGAAAAAAGGTGGGTTTCTCTCAGGAGCTTGTTTCTGAAGCAAAAAAAAGAAAAAAAGAAAAAAGTGAGTTTCAAAAAATATATATTATACAACATAATTCTGTATTTTATATGCATATCTGGGTGGGAAAAACAGTAGAAGTAGATAATCAAAATGTTAGGTGATCTCTGAATGATTGGATTATAAGTGGTCCAATTTTTTCTTAAACTCTGCTCAATTTTCCAAATTTTCTATTAATGCCCTTCTTTTGTAGTCACATAAAAACCGATGCAGCTGGGTGTGATGGCGCACGCCTGTAGTCCCCACTACTTGGGAGGCTGAGGCAGGAGAATTGCTTGAGCCCAGGAGTTTGAGGTTGCACTAAGCTATGATGACATTGCTGCATTCCAGCCTGGGTGACAAAGTGAGACCCTGTCTCAAAAACCAAACCAAACCAAACCAATGAACTATCTTAAATTTTAATATGAATTTAATTATCTTATTGTCAATTAAAATTTTTAATTAATTAGAAAAAAGCCATCCACAATCCCGGTACCTTCACAAATGGTGTTTCTTTCTCATCCTCCCCAGATGCTCAGTCTTACTTCACAAGTCCAGGCATTCCCACGTCTCCCCTGGAGGGATAGGAATGGAGCACCGGGGTGGATGGGGACAGGAAGGCATTAAGTGCAGGTAGAGGCTGATTTGTGCCCTTTCGCTCCCAGGCAGAGGGGATGATCAGTGAAATCCGGACTGCCTTTGAGGAGGCCCTGGGACAGCTGGTTTGGATGGATGAGAAGACCCGCCAGGCAGCCAAGGAGAAAGTGAGCTGTGGCTGGGGTTAGGGCGCCATCTTGAGGTGGGGATGGAGCATACAGTTTTGCTACTGGGTGCCTGGGAAGGGAAACCCTCAACCTGGTCTCTACAGGCAGATGCCATCTATGATATGATTGGTTTCCCGGACTTCATACTGGAGCCCAAAGAGCTGGATGATGTTTATGATGGGGTGAGTACCTGTGCTGACCAGTACTGAATTTTACCTCTGTTGGGGGCACTGTTCCCTGGGCTCAGTAACTGGGGCTCAAGCACTGGGAGGGAAGGAGGTGCTTGTTGGTTCCTTTCAGAGACGGATGGAAACAACCAACATTGCTTAAGTGTTGGCTCTTTGCCAGGCTACAGGCCAAACAGAAGTGAAATATAGTGTTAACAAACGGGATTTGGAGTCAAGCCTGAGTCAAATACTGTTTCTACCCCTAACTGTGTAACCTTAGGGGTAGAAACAAGATCTCTCCAGGCCTCAGTTTCTTTTGTCTGTAAAATGGGGATCCTACTAGTACCTCCCTGATAGGGTCATTGTGAGAATATAAGAAGGCAGTACGGATGTATGTACATACATTCTGCCTTCTTTTATTCTTTTGTTCTCACAACAACCCTATGAGGGTTGTAAAAAACACAGCACCTACAACATAAGTGCTCTTTAAATATTGGCAGTTATGGCCAGGCGCGGTGGCTCACGCCTGTAATCCTAACACTCTGGGAGGTCCAGGCGGGCGGATTGTTTGAGCTCAGGAGTTTGAGACCAGCCTGAGTAAGAGCGAGACCCCGTCTCTACCAAAAAAAATAGAAAGAAATTATCTGGACAGCTAAAAATATATAGAAAAAATTAGCCAGGCATGGTGGCGCATGCCTATAGTCCCAGCTACTCGGGAGGCTGAGGCAGTAGGATCGCTTGAGCCCGGGAGTTTGAGGTTGCTGTGAGCTAGGCTAATGCCACGGCACTCACTCTAGCCTGGGCAACAGAGTGAGACTCTGTCTCAAAAATAAATAAAAAATAAAATATAAATATTGGCAATTATTATTTACTAAATATTTTACTTTTATATGTGAACAAACTGAGGCTTGGAGAGGTACTGATTAGTAGCTAAGCTGGGACTATTATCTTCTTCAATGTATTCTTTTGCTTGCTTTCTACTTCCTGCCATTCCCATAGTATGAAGTCTCTGAAGATTCTTTCTTCCAAAACATGTTGAATTTGTACAACTTCTCTGCTAAGGTGATGGCCGACCAGCTCCGCAAGCCTCCCAGCCGAGACCAGTGAGCGCAGGAGCCACAGACAGTTGGGACAGGCAGTGGGAGAAGTGGGGGCAGGTTTCCCGGGATGGGGGAAAGGGGTGGCAAGACTGACCCCAGGCCTGAGCTATGAGGCCCTTGTAGGAGCCAGGGCAGGGCTGCTGGGCTGGGAGGGACATCAGGAGAGCCAGAAGCCTCAGCCTCTCCCTCTTCCTCCCCAGGTGGAGCATGACCCCCCAGACAGTGAATGCCTACTACCTTCCCACTAAGAATGAAATCGTCTTTCCTGCTGGCATCCTGCAGGCCCCCTTCTATGCCCGCAACCACCCAAAGTGTGTCTGAGGCAGGAGGGGCTGGGTGCCGGGGTCTGGGCCTGTGGGTGAGCTGGGAGCAGTGCTGGAGGGATTTAGAAATATCCCTGCCATGTCCTCACTCAGCATTCCTCACCTACCAGGGCCCTGAACTTTGGTGGCATTGGCGTGGTAATGGGCCACGAGTTGACACATGCCTTTGATGACCAAGGTAGGGCCTATGGAGTTGTCGCTTCCAGCCTAGAATTCCCAGTGGCTCCTGCAAGGCCATGGGGTGTTGGGGGCATGCCCCAGGGGTGCTGGAGTCTGTGGACCAGGACTGGTGGGGATGCTCCTGCCCTCAAGGGATGAGCTCTGGTCTTGGTGGGGTGCAAAGGTGAGTTCTCCTCAGGGCGAGAGTATGACAAGGAAGGGAACCTGCGGCCCTGGTGGCAGAATGAGTCTCTAGCAGCCTTCCGGAACCACACGGCCTGCATGGAGGAGCAGTACAACCAGTACCAGGTCAATGGGGAGAGGCTCAATGGCCGCCAGACGCTGGGGGAGAACATCGCTGACAATGGGGGCCTTAAGGCCGCCTACAATGTGAGTGGCCTGGTTGGCCCTCCAGTGGCTGAGGCCCACTGGCCTGGGGTGAAAGTGCACTGGGTGGAAGGGCACAGCCCCTGGTGGACTTGCTGCCCACTGCTCCTCCCCAGGCTTACAACGAGTGGCTGAGAAAGCACGGGGAGGAGCAGCAGCTGCCAGCCGTGGGGCTCAACAACCACCAGCTCTTCTTTGTGGGATTTGCCCAGGTATTGACCTGCTGGGAGGCCTGGGGTCTGCCCCTACATCATTAGAAGAAGTCTGGGGCATGCAGGAAAGGGGCTGGGGAATGGGCCGAAGTGGGGGTGTGGAAGATGGCTGGGAAGGCCTGTGCCTGGGCCGCTTGGCTGGGGCCCACCACAGCAGCCTAGGGAGGCCTGAGAGAGGAGATCGCAGAGGGCAGGGATGCCCTGCTTGAGGGAAAGGGGTGGAGCAGGCATTGGTCCTCACCGCATTCCTGAGGGAGGTATGGAGGAGGACACTAAAGCTCGGGGACACAAAGTGGCTTGTCCAGGGCCGCCCAGGGATAAAGTAAGTGTCAGAGCAAAGACTCAAGCAGAGTCTCCTCTAGGTGCTTTGCATCACAGCAGGCAGCCTCTGGGGCTCTGCTCTTTTCCTCAGCTGTGTCCATGCTGGGCATCCCGATGTCCAGAGCAGCTTTGGAAGGGCTTCGAGGAATTTGGGAGGGAGAGGGTGTTCACCCGCTTTGGTGTTGTTGACAGAGGGATTGGAGCTGAGATGCAGGCTGAGCCCTCTGCAGTGTCCCTGAACTGAGGCACTGGAGCAGTGGTGGTTTGTGCCCCATGATGGCTCTGCTGTAGCCGAGTCTACGGCCCAGCTCCACACTAGACACCATATGGCCCCATGTCTGTCCTGGCCTGCAGGTGTGGTGCTCAGTCCGCACACCAGAGAGCTCTCACGAGGGGCTGGTGACCGACCCCCACAGCCCTGCCCGCTTCCGCGTGCTGGGTACTCTCTCCAACTCACGTGACTTCCTGCGGCACTTCAGCTGCCCTGTTGGCTCTCCCATGAACCCAGGGCAGCTGTGCGAGGTGTGGTAGACCGAGGTGAGGGGAGGAATGGCTGGCTGTTGCCAGAGCCTGGGGCGGATCTCCCAGAAAAACTGTTTGCTCCTGGGTTAGGAGAAAGCAAATGCAAGCCGCGCTGGGTCCAGCCATGCCACAGCACAGGTGACATGAATACTAGTCCCTCTTTAACCACCACATCGTGCCTCTGCCTCCGGCAGAGCCCCACCATTCACTGTGACATCCTTCTGTGTCACCCTGCCTGAAAGAGGTCTGGGCTGGAGTGCCAGTTCCTCCAGGAGAGTCTGCCTCCTCTGGCCCCAAGCTCACTCATGGGGTTGCTATGCCTGCCCGACTCTGACCTTGCAGGCCTGGGTGGTGTATCTCCCTGCTTCTCCCCAGGGCTCACTCAGTGCTACCTGCCAGCCCCACCCTCAGGAGCCACCCCCACTCCTGGGCTCCTTGTCCTTGTGCTGCTGTTTCCAGTACTGCTGCCAGCCCTCACTGACAGATGCCCTGTGCTTAGCTCCTAGTGGAAGCCTGAGGGCCTGTGAAAGCTTCCCTGCTGCCCCGTTTCCCTGGGCTGAGAGGGGAAGTGTGAATGCGTGGGGGGTGCTGGTTTCTGTATCTTAAGGCACAAGTCTTAAGGGGTGACTAATTCCTCCAGGGCCAAACAGAAAAGCAGATAGAGCAGGGAGAGGGAAGGACAGAGTTTATTTTTACAGGGAAGAGGGTGGGGAGGGCGTGGACTTGGCCCTATAGGACCCTGTGCCAATAAATAGACACACATCAGTCAGCTTGTCTCTTCCTTCAATCCTGTTTTCATTTATTCATTTACGCATTCCACTTGGGTATTTATTGAGCAACTATCGTATGCCAGGAACTCTTCTCGAGACCCATTTACTCACTCGCCAGATATAAGGGACTGTGATTTGAAGCCCTGAGAAGACAAAGAAAAAGAAGCAGGGTAGAGGAATGCAATGAGGTTGAGTCTGACAGGGCAGAGTAAATCCTCTGCTCATTGGTGGCCATATCCCCATTGCCAGCTGTTCTATCGCTGGAAGGAGTTGCTGCTCCCCTCCGCTGGTGCATGCAGCTGGGCTTGACACTGAGGCTGGGTAACCACCGGGCCAGGGTTGGCTTAGGAGATGGGTGACTCTTACCCTGTAGTGGAAGGAATCCCTGGCCAAGGTAGCACGTCACTCCCTGGAGCTCAGAACACTGGCCTCTGCTCGTAGATGAAAAGATAAACATTTCCTCATGGCCTCAAAGGCTCAGAGCTCCTGAGAATCAGCCATTCCACCTACACTCACTAATCAAGGCCTACCAAGTGCCAGGCACAGAGACTGCAAATATAGCTTCTATGCTCCAGAGTGAGGGAGAGAAAAGGAACATTTATTGAATACATCTTGTGTTCCAGGCACCTGTGCTAGTTTCTTTATTCATTCATCCATTTATTAATTTATACATTCATAGACTTACTTTTTAAAAAATATATTGATTACCAAAAATACTTATATCAGGCACTGGTGATAGAAAAATGAATAAGATGGGCAGGGTGGTGCGCCTGTAGTGGCCTCCCAGCTACTCAGGAGGCTGAGGTGGGAGGGTGGCTTGAGCCCAGGAGTTTGAGGCCAGCCTGGGCAATATAGGGAGACCCTATCTCTTAAAGAAAAAAAAAGGAAAGAAAAGAAAGATGAATAAAATGGTTTCTTTCCTTATGTGACTCCTCCCCTTCTACTGGCACTTTCACCTTCATGAACTCACCTAATCCTCATCGCAACCATACTTTGTAATTACTCTAGTCTTCACTTTACAGATCTGACCCTAACCACTTCACTACAAAGAGATCTGGACTGAAATTGAGGCTTTGATAGTTGTATAAACTTGAGCCTGTTCACTACCCTCCATGAGCCTCAGTTTCTTCACCTGCAAAATGAGAACTACAACAAAATAGTGGAAAGAGTCCAACTTCAATTCTCTTTAAAACTCAGTGCTCCCCAAGGTACAAGTAGGGGTGCGTTTGTTGAGTTTGGAAGGGGAAGAGTGAAGCTTTGGCAATGATTGTTGCTGGGGTCCCTGACTCCTCAGTGATGATGCTGGCATGTGTCCCACAGTCTATATCCTGCCCCAACTCTTTAGGGCACCAGACTGACCCATAAAGAACTGTATGTGGATCCCTGTCATGTTACCTCAAAGTGCTGGCTGGTCACCAAGACAAGGAAATAGCTGACTACTCAGGAAGGAGCAAAGTGTCTTCTTGAACTCCTTGACTGAGGGAAAGCATGGCCTGAGCCTCTGAGAGTAGAAGTCCAGGGTGGACAGCAAACTGTATTGGAAAGAGGAGGGCCATCACATCTGGAGACCTGGTCTGGCTCCAGCTCTGTACCTGCTAGCAGTGTGACACTAAGCATAGCTCATCTCCCCTCTTCAGGTCTCAGTATCCTCAGCAGTCTGTAAAATAAGTGGATTGGATGAGACAATCTCTCAGGACCATTTCAGCTTTAATGCTTTAAGAAGTGAATTTGTGGGCTTAGCAAATTCCAGAACCCAAAGAGATTTTAATAAATGACTTGTGAAGTTTGGGTGTTGCATTGTGGATGAGATTTACAATGTCAGAGAGCATAATGACTTGAGGAGAGAGGTTTGGCAGGATAAAGCCTTGCCCTTCCTCTGACACTTAATTTCAGAGGCCAGCTTAGGATTCTGACCCGCTGGCCACTGTGGTATTAAGACTTCATATTGCAAAAATGTCAAAGTGTCAAATAATAATAACAATGATAATGATGATAATTGCCAGCTTTCATTTACTGGGTTCCTATTTTGCTTATGCTAAGCATTTAAAAAATATCATTAAATGCCCACAACAATTTATAAGGAGGTTCTATCATTGTCTCTATTTTACTAGTGGAGAAACTAAGGAAAAAGATTACATAACTTCCAATGTCAGACAAGACAGATTGCATTAAAGTCAGATTTGGAACTCAGATGCTCTTAATCACCATTAGTTAGTCTTCTAAGTCATGGCAGAATTAAGACTCAAACATAGACATTTACCTTCTGGGCAATTTCATCATGCTTCCGAGTGGGACCATAACCAGCAGGTACATTTCCATGCAACTCAGCTCCCCTGGGCCAGGCACATGTGACAACCAGGCAGCTGCAGGAAACTTAATCACACATTGTGCTGAAATTAAGCCAGGTAGCACCTGTTTGTTGATCACTCTGCAGGTGGGTGGTTCCAGAGGCAAGGCAAGGCAAGGCAAGGCGAACATCAGGTGACAGATGTAACCTTTACCCTTAGTAGCCCTGTCAGACTGATGTATGTTCATCTGTGATATGCTCTGATGTGTTGAGGCAGAAGGAGAAATAAAGGATGGTCCTCCTCAGTGGACACAAGAAAGTAATTATTGCTTAAGGGCTGGGCCATTCCCTGTGCAGTCCCATTGGGAAGTCTGACTAATCCTATCCACAATAAGATAACATATGCCAAGAAGTATGATTTCACACTTGGTAGCATTCTGGAAATATGAGGCTTGAAGAGAGTCTGCCATAAAAATTAGCACAGTTTCAGTAGGCCTATCATGATTCACAAATGGAGAATCCTGATGATTTTCTGATGCCCAGCTCTGGGCTCCAAAGAGAGCCCCCAGTGGGTTGTTATTATATACAAAGATGATTCTATGAAGGAGGAAATGCATGAAAATTAAAATTCTGTGGAGGAAATGCATCAAAATTAAAAAAATTTAAAAAAATAAACCATACCCAAACATGACCTAAAGATTAATGTAAAGCCACTCATGTGTTCATTTAGTAAGGCCTACCACAAGCCAAGCATTAGGCATAGTTCCTGTCCTTCAGGAACTCAGAGCCTAGGGAGGGAGAGGTATGTGCTAAGCATGGTGGGAGTATAGGGAAAAAATGAATAACCTAGAGGTAGGATAGGAAAAGCTTCCTGGATAGGTAACATTCAGCTGGAGGTCAGAGGATAGGAGAATTTACTACCTGAAAACAGTGAAGGGCATTGCACACAGAAGGAATAGCAATGTAAAAAGGCCGATCAACCATCTTGAATGGGTAAGGCGTGTTCAGAAATTGTGAAGTGTTTAGGATATCAAATGGAAGTAAATGAAAGGAACATACTATGACCTATTCTGATATGCTGAAAAAAAATGAAAGGGACATAAACAAGGATGAGAGTCTGGAGAAGGGTAGTAGTAATAGTGGTCATGAAAAAACAGAATTGTAGCATCTGCTGTCAGTCCTGGGAATTAACAGTAAAAAGGGCCACAGTACAATGTGGCTGTTTGAAGGATATCACATAAAGACAGTAGTAATGCTGTGGAAACAGAGCAATGCTGTGTGCTGCTGGGAGCACTTCTGGTGTTATGTAGGTGATGGCCTTGGGTTGAATGGTTCTCAGGTGAGCGAGCCATCCATAAGATAACGTAGCTCTACAGCTTAGGCCATGGTTGGGGAGCAGCATGGTAGGCTTATGGATGTAATTTGAAGGAAGGAGGAAGGAAGGAGCAGGTAATGGCTTGGCTCCTGATTGGAAAGAAGTTTGGCCGCAAGGCTGGGAGTTTGACCAAATGGTAGTAGACAGGAGCGCTCCTGGTAGGGTAGTTTGGCTGAAATGAATCTTGAGGTAGAACATTAATGTTATCAAGGGGCCTTGAAGGTCACTCCCAGACATTTGTGTTTAGCTAGAGGCTTGGAAGCTTGAGTGATTAGGGGTGGTGAGAAAGGGACAAGAATGTTTAATTCAGCCCTGCAGATTTGAGGTAGTTGGAAAATAAAATGACAACTGCTTCCTTTGTAGTTGCCAGGCACCTAGCTAGGCACTTTATATACATTGTCTCATTTAATTTTCATAACAACTTAGAAAAGAGATACTTTATGACTCACATTTTACAGAGGCAGAAACCATGCTGAGAGAGGTTAAGGAGCTTGCCCAAGTCTGACAGCTGGCGAATGGTAGAATTTAGTTTAAAACACCAGATTTGTCTGTCTCTAAAGTTTGTGTTCTCCTTCCCCCAGCTTTTTATTTTGAAATGTCTCAAACTTACAAAAAAGTTGAAACGTAGTACAACATTTACAATTACTATTCATTTACCCTTCATCTGGAGTCACCTGTGCTTTATGCCACAACATCACCTCATCTCCTCTAAGGTACTGGGAGGGATATGACTGGTATATAGCACAAAATCTGCGACCTGATAGAAGGAAGTCATAGGAGAAGGAGAGATTTAGGAAAAAACCTCTATAGATGACTGAAGAAAGCATTAAAATGTATGGACATCCTGGAGGCAGACATAAAATAGGCAGAACAGCTGTGAACTGTCCAATTTCTGTCTGCAGACCAGGGCTGGGGGAGTCATTAGCAATGGAAATGTAAGATTATCCATAGATCCCAAGCATTGAGAGGAAAAGAGCAACATGTTTTTAAAATGGATTCAGACCCTTACATCTGTATCTATACAAACATTTAGTCAACATTCATTCAGTGCTACATTGTTCTCTCTGTGTGTTTTAACACTTCTGCATTCTTTTTTTTTTATTTCAGCATATTATGGAGGTACAGATGTTTAGGTTATGTATGTTGCCCTTGCCCCCCTCCCCCCTGCATTCTTTTTTTTTCTTTTTTGAGACAGAGTCTCACTGTGTTGCCCCGGCTAGAGTGCCGTGGCGTCAGCCTAGCTCACAGCAACCTCAAACTCCTGGGCTCAAGCGATCTTCCTGCCTCAGCCACCCAAGTAGCTGGGACTACAGGCGCGAGCCACCATGCCCAGCTAA